GGGCGCGCACGAGGCGCCCGCGACGTGGGCGCCCACGCCTGGCCGCCGGGGAGCGGCCACGACTGGGCGCCCACGAGGCGCTCGATCTTGCCCCCCATGGTCGCACTGTCCTCGAGCCAATAGGGGCCCGCCGACTGAGGGGGCACCGTGTGGACCCTCACCTCGAGGGGCCCCGGGCGGCGCAACTCCTCCATCATGGGGCCAGTACCCGCCCACCCCGTTCACCTGCTCGGTGACGAACCCGGGCCGCACGGCCGCGTCCGGGTTCTCCTTGTTTTATGTCCGGCGTGTCCCCCTACAGGGGGATCTTCGACGACAAATTAAACATACCCCCAAAATAACCGAAAATTATCCAAGAATCGTCTGGGGACTATTTTGGGGGTATTTTTTTTGTTTTGCCTCTTTGGTGCATTTTTGTGGTATTTTTTATTTTGATCTCTCGTCGAAAATCCCCCTGTAGGGTGACAGGCCCAACTTAACACCAGGACGCGGACAGCAGGCGAAACCCCAGCGGACCCCTCCGTGGCGCGCGGGGCGTCCACGGGGCGCCAACGACCGGCCACCAGCGCAGCGCCGGATGAGTTTTTCGCCGGCGGGCTTGCCCAGCGCCAGGGGCGCTCAGGAGTCAGGGAGAGAAAGCAAGAGCACACGGACACAGGTAAGCGTCGATGCTCCAGAAAGGGTGGGGAGATCTGGGAAGTGGGGGGGGGAGACAGAGACCCCAGAAGATGTGGGAAAGGATGGGGGATCCTGTGATTTGTCTCTATTGACTCGTGTGTCCCAGGGCCCCTTCAATGAGGCGCCCACGAGGCGCCACCAACTGGGCACGAGTCGAATCCCGGGCGGACCCTAACCAATGACTTCTCGAAGACGCCTACGGCGAATTGCCGCCCCCCCCCCCTGCCTTTGAGATCGTCCACGTGGCCGAGCGCAAGAGCTCTGCCAAGCTATTGGACCCTGCGTTCCCCCAACCGTTGTGGAAACCCTTCGGGGAACGTTTGGGGGAGGACGGCGGGAAGATCAGAAGGAGGAGGAGGAGGAGGAGGAGGAGGAGGAGGAGGAGAGAGGAGGGCTCATCTTGGGAGCCTCTGGGGGCACTCTTGAGGCCTCCCGATAGTTTCCCAGGAGCCTCTTGGGGGCATCCTGGGGGCCTCCTTGGGCCTCTTGGGGGCGTTTCTTAGAGCCATCTTAGCACGTCTTGGTGGGCTCCTGGCCCGTTTGACGCAGTCGGAAGCTGTCTTGAGGGCCTCTCTTGGCCGACTGGGGGCCCTCTTGGGGCGCTCCAGGGCCTTCTTGGATGCCATCTTGGGTGTCTTGGAGGCCTCTCGGGCCGTCGTGGGTCCCTCCTGGTGGGTCTTGGGGACTTTGGGGCCGTTTTGGGGCCATCTTGGAGGCCCCTTGGGCCATCTCGTGCCGTCGAAAGGCCGAAAAGCAAATGCCAATCAGTGATTGTGACCTCTTCGGGCCTTCCTGGGTGACCTCTTGGAGGTCTCTTGGGCCATCTTGAGGCTATCTTAAGCCGTCTTGGGTGCATCTTGGGACTTCTTGGTGGCATCTTGAGGCCAAGCCCGAAAACGCGAGAACGCGAAACGAACAAGGAAACACAACGATGTTAGTTTGCGCTGTCTTGGGGGTCCTCTTGGAGCGCCCTTGGGGTTTCTTTGGGATCTCTTATGCCGTGTTGGGGCCATCCTGAGCGTCTTGGAGCGTTCTTGGGCTGTCTTGGAGGCCTCTTGGACCCTCTTGCGCGCTTCCTCGGGCCCTTTTGGCCCGTCTTGGGGCCCTCTGGGCTCTGGAAAAGTCATGCGAGGCATCCCGGGAATGCGCGGGAACGCGGAATTTTAGGTTCTGGAGCTTGGGGGCCCAGCCACCAAAATACTACAATCTAAGAGTCCTGAGGACAGAGAAGAGAGGACACACGAGGACCTGAGGAAAACTCCGCTTCTCGCCCCGCGGCACGGTGGCAGATCAAGGCAAGCAAAGAAGAATGCGAATGCCCTTGGCCAGGCTCCACGCTCGAGCGCTGCCAAGTTCACCCCCGAGTAACGTACCATCAGTGGGCAGCCAGCCCGAAACTCCGATGCTCTGGACGCAGGGTACAGAAAGAATGGGTACAATGCCCAACAGCAGTTCCTGCTTATTTCGAACAGGACTTGCTGTCCACGCCGCCGCGGCCTGGTCCATTCGAGACAGAAGGCCGCCTGCCCAACAGCGGCCGCTGTTGGTTTGGGACAACGCTTGTTGTTGGGCATTGCACCCATCCTTTCCGTACCCATGTCGGGCGTCCAAAGATGCCGTGACCGTGCCGCAGCGTGGACCGGAGGCCCGGACTCTTCCCCGGGTGCGGGCTTATAGTATAGGCTTCCTCGAGCGAGCTGTGGGTCCCTTAGCCCTCCCCGGGGCCTGGCCGAAGGCCCCGAGGGTCGGAGGCCGGCCGAGGGCCCTCCGTCGTGATTCGTTCTCCCGTGCCGCGAGGGGGCTTGCGGAGGAGGAGCAGGAAGGAGGAGGAGGATGCCTTCGGAGGAGGAGGAGGAGGAGGAGAAAGGAGGAGGAGGAGGAGGAGGAAGGAGGATGAGGAGGAGGAGGAGGAGGAGGAGGAGGAAGGAGGAGGAGGAGGAGGCCTGCGAAGGAGGAGGAGCAGGAGGAAGGAGGAGGAGGCCCGCGGAGGAGGCCTGCGGAGGAGGAGGAGGAGGCCCCGTCGCCGCCTCCTGCCGCCCCCTCCTCTCCTCGGGCCGCACGACAGGGGGGGCATTGGGAAAGGGGGGGGGTACGAAGTCTGCTGCCTGCAGCTGGCTGCGGCCCCACCGAGGGGCCCAGTCCTCGAGGCGTGGGCGGCCCGATCTGCCCTCCTCCCCGCCCCGGCGGGCCTCGTGCCCCACGGCAAGGCCTGCGGGCCCACGGCGGGGTGCCCCGCGCGGCCGCGCGCAGAGGGGAGGGTAATTCTCGGGGGTGGACAGACCTCCTACCCTGACCGTTCTCGGTTCGCGAGAGGGCGTCGCGGCCGTCATTTTTGCGGGTCCAGGTCCGTCGGTTTCGGTCGTAGGTCGTCTTCACTAAGGGGAGGTTTACTAAAGGGAGGTTTGTCCACCGCCGAGGGTAGGGGTAGGAGGGAAGGCTTCTTCCAGGCCTCCCAGATGGGGTCCGAGCAGATGGGGTCGGAGGATCGCGCCGCAGCGCCGATGCATCGACGATGCGGCTCGATGTGGAGCCCGTGTTTCCCCACGCCGACGTCGCCGATGCGTCGCTGACGTCGCCGATGCATCGCCGATGCATCGGCGATGCATCGGCGATGCGGCGCGATCCTTCGACCCCATCTTGAGGGAAGCTGCTTCTTAGAGGGTGCGGGTCTTCTCGAAGGGCCGGCGCCTTTAAAGAACGGCCTTTTTCTAAGAAACCTTCCCCCCTCCCCCTAACCCCCTCTTCGCGTGGCTGGCCCTCGCTTCCAGGGACTGCGGTCGGAATCCAAGTTGCGTGCGTAGTCTTGCCTCACGGGCGGCATCTGGGCACGAGGACCGCCTCGATGCCGTGTCCAGCCAGCTTCCGACCCCCCCCCTTCCTCTTCCCCCTTCGGTTTCGGTCGCGGTGTAAGGAGGGACCGCCGTGGCTGCTCCGTGAAGCCGGGGGCGCGGTCGCCGCGCACGGGTCACGCCCCTCGAGGCACTCCCGCCGGCCGCTGCCCCGGCGGCTCCGCCCTCGCAGGAGGACCCTCTCCTCCGGGCTCGGGCGCGCCCAGCGAGGGGGGTGTGGACGTTGTCGTCGTGGCAGGGGCAAGGGCTCCCACGAGGGCGCGAAGTTATTCGCGCCTCGCGGTCCTCGTTGAGGGGGTGGGGGGTGGTGCGGGCCGAAGGGTTAGTTGCTCAGGGCACGCCGAGGTAGGGGCCAGGAAGGGCGGTCCGAGCAGTCTGGGCGGCATGCCGGCCAGTCCGACCACCTCAGGATGCCAAGCAGCCGGCCGCCCAGCACGCCGGGAAAGCAGCGCGGGGGGAGGAGGGTCATCGATGGCAACGTTAGGGATGGTCAGGGGAGGCATGGGGCTCAGTTGGGGACGCATCGACCCCGCAATCGCCCACTGATCGCCGATACTCGAGCAGCGTGGAAGCGTCCTGGCTTGCCGAACGATAGGTCCACCAAGTCGAGGAAACTTTCTGGTGTTCTCTGCACGATATGGGATTGGAGCATTTCTGGCCGTGACTGGTTGGTGGCAACCCTTCGTCTGAGAACATTGTTCTGCGTTTGGAACTGTAGCCCACCCCGCCCAGGATCGTGCGGATTCGCTATTGGGGGCCGATTGCCGATCTATCGCCGACGAACGATATGTTCGATTGTGGCTCGATGCTTCTCCCCCCGCGTGAGCTGGCCGCCGGCCCGGCGCCCTCGCTCTCGCAGGAGGACGTCCCCCCCTGCCCTCTGGCTCGGGCGCGCCCAGCGAGTGGGGTGTGGACGTTATCGTCGTGGCAGGGGCAAGGGCTGGGCTCCCACGAGAACGCGAAGTTATTCGCGCTTCGCGCCTCGCGGTCCTCGTTTCTTCGTCCCCTCCTCCTCGTCCTCCTTTTCTCCCTTTGGGGGGCGGCGCGAGAGCGCGAAGTTATTCGCGCTTCGCGGAGCGCGAAGCGCGAAGTTGGGAGCCCTAGCAGGGGGGAGGTGGATGGAGGTTTTCGTTGGCTCTTGAAGCTTTTCTCCCCTCGGGGATGCTCTCCAGCAGCTGCGCCTCGTCGAGGGCGTTCCGGGGATGCCGGGATCGTCTCATACGGCCATTGGAGGCCAGAGTCATGACCCGATACCATCAGGCGCCGAAGAGGGGGAGGGGTACCAGGTAACGACCACGTGCGTGTGGGTATCATGGCCATAGCCATAATAGTTTCCCGGTAACATGAGGGGAGCCTTCATGAGCTTGCCATGGCCATGATGGTGAGTAGCACTCATCAGTTCCTACAGTTTGCCTCACACAGGGAGCCCTCACTTAAAACGCAAGCGACCCATGCGCCTTCGGTTCAGGCGGGAGGCTATTGAGGGGAGGAGCCGCCCTGCATCCTATAGGTAGCAGCGATGTGTATATCGAAGACGCCTACGACGAATCACCGCCGCCCCCTGCCTTTTTGGAAGCGCGTATGCGGCCGAAGGTTGGGCCAGGTGGAGCCGGGCCAAGCTATCGGACCATGTGTTCCCCCAGCCGTCGTGGAAACCCTACGGGGAACACGAGAGATGGAGGAGAATGAGGAGACGAAGGAAAAGGAAGCAGGAGGAGGAGGAGGAGGAGGCGGAGGAGGAGAAGGAGGGAGAGGAGGAGGAGGCGGATGTCCGGGATTTCCGCCATCGCAAGGCTGATTTCTGCCATCGCGACGCCGCTGCGGCAGATCTCGGTGGGAAGCGGGCACACCTGCGGGCTTAGGGCGGCGGACGGCCTGCCTGTCTGCTGGGGCCGCGACAGCTACGGAGAGGTCTCGGACGTGCCGCCCGTGCCGCCGCTGGAGATCTCGGCGGGAGGCTTCCACACCTGCGCGCTGAAGGAGGCCGACGGCCTGCCTGTCTGCTGGGGACGTGACACTTACGGGCAGGTTTCTGATATGCTCTGCCCTGAAGGCCACTTACGGGCAGTGAATCAGACATCAGAGTCAAGTGCCGTCGTCGAGTGCACGGCGTGTCCTAAGGGCACGTACAGCGAGTTGTCTGGTGCTTTAAAGTGCTGGGCGTGTCCCGAGGGCTCGTATAGCAACCTGTCAGGAGCTTCTGAGGCGTTTGCGTGCACGACGTGTCCCGAGGGCACTTACCGTGTTCAGTCTGGTGCCTCAGTGTGCACGGCGTGTCCGGCGGGCACGTACAGTGGCCAGTCGGGAGCCTCTGAAGCGACAGCACAGCTTGTGCCGAGGGCACTTACAGTGTTCAGTCTGGTGCCTCAGTGTGCACGGCTTGTGCCGAGGGCACATACAGTGGCCAGTCGGGAGCCTCTGAAGCGTCTGTGTGCACGGCGTGTCCGGTGGGCACGTACTATGACAAGTCCGGTGCTTCTGAGTGCATGGTGTACACCTGCGCTGTTTCGCTGCCCTGGTGGTTCGACAGCGATAGGCACTCCACTACAGATTGTGGCACGCTGCAAGCAGGCGGCAGTTGCCAGGTGCGGTGCCGCTTGCCATATATGGGCGATCCTGCACAATTGATTTGCCCGCAGGCGATCACACGGCATGATAGTGAGCCAACAGGGGTTGCACGAGATTGCACTAGGTTGTTGTTGTCGAAAAAAGAAGAGTATTGCTTTAATGCGACACAGGATCAGATCGCAGCTCTCAGGGAGGGGCGCGAGTACACGGGCACCGTCCATTGTTGTGAAGTCGACCCTGCTTACTGCACGAGTTTTACGATGGGAGTGATCATCTTCGAGCGGGGCGGTACTTGCGACAACTACTTCAGCAATGACGTTTTGGCCGCCACGTGCTCCGATACTCAGGAGCTGTTCGAAGGACTCTCGCTGATCCGCTGGATCACCCACGTGTCCTTCTGGTCCGAGGTGGTGGGCCTGTTCTGGCAATTCCTGAGCATCCTGCTCATGTGTCTGCTCCTTCGCTGTATTCCTTCGACCCCCGAGTCGTTTAAGAAGGTTATGATGGTGTTCATCGTGGCCGAAGTCGGCCAAGCGGTAATCCAATGTGTGCAGCTTCTTCTCGAATTTACTGACGTGGGCTACATCGTGACAGCTGACGTTTTCGATATTATTAAGGAGCTGAAAGTGCACGTCGGCGCCGGAGAACTGGTGCTCAGCTTCGCCAGACTCCTGCTGTCCATTGTGGGCATCCGGGATATGCGGAAGCAGATGAAGCAAACACTCGCCGCGAGGCCCGTCGACGTGGATGCCTCGTCGCCGCCGCGTGGCGCCCACCAGCAGATCCCGCGGGTGGAGGCGGACGCCCCTCCAGAAGTCCCGCCCGCCGACATGCGGGGCGAAGACGCAGACGTGCCGCGGCGATCCAGGAGCATGTCGCCGACGCTGCGGCGCCGACGTTGGGGCGTGCCGCCGACGACGCGGCCCCCGTCTCCTCGCGCGCCGCCCCGCACGCCGCCCGAGGGCCCGCCCTGGGCTGCCGCGAGCGGCCGCCGAGCGCCCGACATGCCTCCTGCAGCGGAGGGGCCAGTCCATGTCGAGGAGGCCAAGAACGTTTTTTTCTGCGGAACATCCAGATGATGGTTGTGCAGCTCATGCTGGCCGGCATCGACCTATACTTCGCCTCGGTCGAACTGTACCGGCTCACGGAGCCTGGTTTTCTGGATTTCTTCCAAATGATGAACTGTGTATTTGCCCGAGAGTTTTTAGACGTGGACGGGGAGCTCGTGCTCCCATGTTTGGAAGAGGCGTGACGCTGATTGTGGAGGCGTGGGGGAGAAGGGCGGGAGAGGGAGGGGAGGAGCGACGAACGAAGAGAAATGAGGGGGAGTTGATTAGGAATGAGAGAAGCAACGTGAGACGGATGTAGAATACGAATGTCATGCGCCATGCTACATCGGTCCTTAGCTCCCTTCCTGTGCCATCCTGTGCGCCCCTTGGCGGATTACTTTCTTTACCTGTGACGTGTACCAGAGCCAGGGGGGGCTGCGTAAAGGCCGATGCCTGGCCACCCGTTTGTAACACAAATACTTTTTTCTGTCATCCGAGGAATGCAATGTGCCATTCTCTCCGCACTGGCTGCGGGGCACACAGCGATGCACAGACCTTCGGAGCCCAATCAATCTCGACGGGCCGTCGCATTCGCATCACGCTTGCTTCGCAGAAACAGGGGCGGCCCAGACGCCCGACGTGGTGACTCTGGTGCACGAGGCGGGGGCCGGGCCCGGGGCCGCCCGAAACATGCTGTCAAGAGAATCGATCGGTCTGTGATCACTCGTTTCACACACTCGTTTCACACCCCAGCATTTGGGTTCTTGCTGCCGCCGACACTGTCAAAGCGCCTGTCCCAGGTCGGCGCTGGCCGAGGGGCCGCTGACCCAGGGAATAAAAATTGCATGATGCGCCTGTGCTTGATGGGGCTGCGGAGCAAGATGACGCTCTCGACTCTCCAGTGCGCGGCGAACAAAAAATGCGAAACCCCGACCGCTCGGCGGATCACGGGAAGCGTATTCGAAGAATCAAAAGCGAGTTGGACGGTCTGGCCAGCATTCTAACAGTATCTTTAACACCCTCTAAATATATACCGTCGCGGGGCGCTCGGGATGTTTCATTGACATATCCAGCTGCTTGCGGCAAGTCCCGCCACCGTGCCAGTCCAGCATGCTTGGTGGCGATTGTTCGAGAGGGCATCGGAGGCATCTTGGATGTTCGTTGGGATATTTATCGTGAGAGGCCTCTCGGGGGCCTGTTGGAGGCAGTTTTGACGCCTCTTGGGAGCTGCGTGGGGGCCTCTTGGGGGCCTCTTGGGGCTTCGCGGAAGCCTCTTGGGGCCTCCTGGGGGCCTCTTCGGCCACAGGGATCGAATTGTTGGTGTTGATCCCCCCCTCTTGAACCTCTCTTGTGGCTGTCTGGGGGCTATCTTGGGCTGTCTTGGGCGCCTATTGGGCCGTTTTGAGGCCCTCTTGGGCCGTTTTGGGGCCCTCTTGGGGGCCTCTTTGGGGACCCTGGAACCGTCTTGGATCGTCGGAAGCTCGAAAAGGCGACAACGTGAAAATCATTGAAACACGCAGTGAAAATCAATGTTTTTTGCTTCTCGGGGCCCTCGGCCTCAGGGAGCCCAAGATGACCTCCAGGATAGCTCAAGATATCTTAAGATGCCTCAAGATGGTTCCGAAGATGCTCCAAGAGGCCCCAATAACGTTCCAAGACAGTCCCAAGTAGCCAAAGAGCGCCCCAAAGAGGCCCCGAATAGGCCAACATTCGTCCAACACCGTTGCTCGTTTTTTTTTTTGTTTCGCTTCTGATGGCCGTCCGAGGCTTCAGGACAGTTCCAAGATGGGCCAACAGGGCACCGAGAGAGGCCCAACAGACCCCCGAGGCTGTTCCAAGAGCACTCCAGGAGCGCCCCAAGAGGCGACCTTCGGTCCCAACAGGTCCTCAATCCGCTCCAAGAGAGTTCCGAATCGCGACATGATCAAGAGGCAAGAGAACCCGAGAGGCCCTAGAGAGGCCCCAAGAGTGTTTTAGATGCCCCCGGAGTCGTATCGTAGTCGAAGTATTAACATCGGTAAACGCCGTGGTAGTTGTAGTAGTTGTCGTAGTAGTATTCGTAGTAGTAGCAACGGTATTGGTAGTGGTCGTGGTAGTGGTAGTGGTAGTATTAGTAATAGTCGTTGTTGGTGCTGCTGTACCATCGGTAGTCGTAGGTAGTAGTAATAGTAGTATAGTAGTGGTGGTGGTAGTAGTAGTAGTAGTAGTAGTAGTAGTAGTAGTAGTAGTAGTACTCCTACTACTACTAGTAGGTCGTAGTAGTATTGTATTGGTAGTCGTAGTAGTAGTAGTAGTAGTAGTAGTAGTAGTAGTAGTAGTAGTAGTAGTAGTAGTAGTAGTAGTAGTAGTAGTAGTAGTAGTAGTAGTAGTAGTAGTAGTAGTAGTAGTAGTAGTAGTAGTAGTAGTAGTAGTTAGTAGTAGTAGTAGTAGTAGTAGTAGTAGTAGTAGTAGTAGTAGTAGTAGTAGTACTAGTAGGTCGTAGTAGTATTGTATTAGGTAGTCGTAGTAGTAGTAGTAGTAGTAGTAGTAGTAGTAGTAGTAGTCGTAGTAGTAGTAGTGGCAGTGGTAGTGGTAGTGGTAGTAATATAGTAGTAGTAGTAGTAGTAGTAGTAGTAGCAGAAGAGTAGTAGTAGTAGTATAGTAGTAGTAGTAGTAGTAGTAGTAGTAGTAGTAGTAGTGGTAGTAGTCGTAGTAGTCGTAGTAGTAGTAGTAGTAGTAGTAGTAGTAGTAGTAGTAGTAGTAGTACTAGTAGGTAAAAGTAATAGTACTATAGTAGTGGTAGTTTCTGTAGCCGTTAGTGTAGTGGTAGTAGTAGTGGGCAACCGATAGACCGATAAACCGATAAACGTCTCCCGAACAGAGAATCCATCGTGGAGGCACGGGGCGGGTTTCGTGGCTTATCGGTTTTCATGGTTGTCGACCGATAAACCGATAGACCGATAGCCCCGGTACACCAGCGAACTGGTAACAGGGACGCTCGCAGTCGGTGTATCGGTTTTTCGGTTGATTTTTTATCAACCGGTAAACCGATTACATTATATCGTTTTTTCTGTTGATCGGTTTGCAAACCGATCAACCGATTTGTTTTTATCGGTTTATCGGTTTATCGGTCGTAGTTCTTCCGGGCGCCGCCTGCCACAGTCATATATATATATATATATATATAGATACATAATATATATATATATATGTGTAAATATGTATGCACATCTGTGTATGTGCGCGCGCTTTTTGTATACTACATCAATCTTTTTTCTTTTTTTTCAAAAATGATACCCAGTACGACTATGCCCAGTGAAGTGCCAAGAGCCCCCTTTCGTGATCGGCCCGCCCCCCTGCCCGTGACACTACACGATACGTATCATCACACCAGGTGGCACCAAGCGCGATCCCAAATGCGGAAACGAAATATCATCGGCATCCGTCCCTGGTCCTGGTGCGTGCGGTACGCCTCACTGGCGTGTCCGGTGGTTTGACGAGGTAGAGCTGCTTCAGATGGGGGAGGCACGGAGGTACCTGGGTTGACGAGGCAGCTGGGGATGCTGATGGGGAGGACGAGGGCGAGGACGTGGCGGAGGGAAACAGGAGAAGGGCGTGGATGTGGTGGAGGGAGAGAAGACACAGCAGGGGTCGGAGGCGTGGGCTGGGCCAGACTCCGGCGCCTCGGCGTCGCCTCCCACTTGGGGCAGTGGCGCCCAGGAGGCCGTGCCCGCGGTCGCACTCTCGACCCGGGGGGGCCCCCGCAGCCCACCCCTTCCTCATCCTCTTCGGGAGACAGCCCAGGGGCCTGGCATCGCTCGGGCGTGTGCACTCTTTTCTCGGCGAGAGCCATCGAGGACCATCCCCCCGACCAAAGAGCAACAAAAAAACACGCACGAAAAACCAAACAAGACATAAAACATTGACGTCCGAGCGATGGCGAGCGGGGGCGACGGCGGTGCAGGGCGCCCCGTGGGCTCCCTCCCGCCTCCGCGCCGCTGCCAGGACCCGTAGCAGCCCGCGGTGGCTGCCCCAGTTAGCACCCCGCCGCTGTCGACGGCGGCCCGCTGATGCGCCAATGAGGTTGGGGAGGGGGCGGGGAGGAGGAGGAGGAAATGGAGGAGGAAAAGGAGGAGGAGGAAATTGGGGAGGAGGAGGAGGGAGGAGGAGGAGGAGGAGGACGAGGACGAGGACGAGGAGGGGGACGAGGCGGTCGGTGGGGAGGGGCGGAGGGGAGGCGTCCGATGATGCGATGTTTCCACTCCGCGGAGTCCCGGTACCTCCTGGGGGGATAGCATGTCCTTCCATGTCAATTCCAGAGTGTGCCAACCTCGACGACAAACGGGCCCTGGGGGCCAGCGTCGAAGAACAACGCCAAGGAGGAGGAGGGCCCATAGGTCCGTCGGGGCAACAGACACCGAGACGGCCAGTTTTCCAATGTTTGTGGCCTTTTGAGGTAGTTCTCGTGCCCCAGGGACGTCAAGAACACTCGTGGGTGGATAGACCTCCTACCCTGACACGTCGATTAGTGAATCGGCCGTTCCGAGGGAGGAGGTTGTCCCAGGGGACGGTGTCAGAGAGATTTGGGGGCCCATAACTCGGAACAGCGGGGCCGCTGCGTGCGTGGGGTGGGCTAGCAGGAGAAGGGGTGCAAGTTCACTGATGGAGGAGGGAGTGGAGAGGGCGGCCCACGTCAGAGAAAGAGAGGAGAACAGGAAGATGAGGGTCGGGACGTCCATCCGACGCGGTGCTCTAGGAGGAGCGTTTTTGCTTCCCCACCTTGGCTCCTCTCCCAGGCGGGGGGTCCACCGACAGACGCGCCCCCCCCCCCCCCCAAAGATGGCTCGCCTCGGGGTCGGGGTCCTCCCTGCGACACAGGACTGCAGCACGGGCCTCTGGCCTCGCCGTCGCCCTCGTCCTTCCGCTCGTCTCCAATCCTCCTCCCCGTCCTCCGCTCGCTTGCCCGCTCCGTACGGGCCATGCCCGCTGCAGAGGGCGCGACGTGTGGGCTGTCCACCTTTAGCTCGGGTAGCTCGCCCTTGAGAAACGGTTTTCGCGTCGCTCCGTCGGCCCTGATTGTTCATGAGTGCGGTGGGCGAACCGCGTGGTTTGGTGGCTTGACTTGGCGTAGCGGTAGACGGATGCTGGAGGGGGCGACAAGGACGGCGGATGGGGAGGATCTATAGGGAGAGGGAACGAGGGAGGAAGGATGTATGAGGAGGGAGGGCATGTAGGAGGGCGGAGGGAGG